AAACTAATGAAACAGTAAGAAACAAACTTCTTCAGTTTCCCCCCCCCCCCGTTGTCATATATCTAATAATATATATAACAGAGAATGTTAATATAACAGAGAAAGTTGTGTGCAAAAGGCAGGTATCAGTGGGCTTGGGAAAATCTTAAGGGTTATTGGAATGTTAAAAAACAGCAACAACATAAGGATATTCCCAAACCAGCCCAATTTAATGTGCAAAGAGATTTCTCTGACTGTCTGATGTGGGGCAAAATGAAAGAGGGGATGAGAAATTGAATGGAATATCCTGGCAGGAGCACAACTTGCTGGCTGGCATCCTGAACTGGAGCACTGTGCTCCCAATAAAATGCTCTGGGTTGGACTTGACAGCACAGCAAAAGTCTGTCCAGTTGGGGAGATAAAATTGTCCTCCAGGCTCTTGAAATTTGTCCACCCCTAAAGAAATCTGAACAGCCCAATAAGGCTCCTATTTCAAATGGTCTGGAGTCTATAGCATTCTTTAGCTATAGTACACACAGTCTTGTTGCGTGCCCCATTTAATTTTCAGCTGTTTTCATTCTTAGCTCCAAAACTGCGTAAGGTAAAGTACTTAATATAAATGTTATCATTAAAAATATGGGGGAAGAATAATAGTTCAGAGATAGAGCACTTGCTTTGCATTCAAGAGAACCCAGGCTCTGTCAGCCAACAAGCTGTCCTATTTCTTGTCCTTGGAAAATATGGGTTTCAAAATTTGGAGAGCTGCTTTCAGTTATTGCTGACAATATTGAGCTTGATAGATAAAAAAGTGTCTGACTTGGAATTCGGCAGCTTCCAATGATTGAGAAATTTCTCAAAGGTCTCTGTCTTTTGTTTATTAATCACTCACTACCTTCACAATTACACTGACCACCATAAAGCACCATGTGACCAGTTTCATCCTATTTAGAACTTGCCAGACATTGGTACCCAAAAGTTACTATGTGGGGTTCAAACCCTCTACCAGGAATTGAACTCAAAGACCTTTGCATTTTAGATGACTATATTTAATGCATTAGTTTTAGGAGCTATTCACATCCTGGTGTTCAATAGTTTCAGGGGGGTAGATATATAGAAGCTATCAGAATGGTATACTGCCCTCCAGTGGGGCGGTGGCAGAAATCATGTAAAATCACATACACAGGGGCATGGCATAGTGTAACATCTGTATCTCTCTGTTCTGAGAGCTTTATGTTTATACCATTCTGAGAGCTTCACTAGGTTCACACAGCATGTTAAGCCATGAATTATGATTTCTAACCACCACTGGATTCACACACAGACTGAACCTAAGCCAACAAATGTTGTTATACAGTTTCTTCCCTTTGGTATTTTAACAGTGGTTATTTTTTTCATCAGTCATAATTTTAAGATTTTTGTATTTACCATCATCAAGTATAATTTACCTTTCCTCTTAAAAGTCTTTATGTGCTCCAGTTTGGTTTCTGTATTCTAAAAATAGTTTGGTTTACTGACATGTAAATAACAAAATATTAAAACGCTTGTTTTTAAATAAGCTAATTTTTAATAGTTAAGTTTAATGTATCTGGTTTTAACTTTGGTGTTATGTTCTATTGTAAACGTCAGTAAGCCAGCAGTTTAAATGTGGGCTAATAAATCATGGTCATGTTTATGATCAAGGTAATGGTTGTCCACTTAGAACTTAATAGAATTAGATGACAATTGACTGATGGTATTGATTACTAGTGAACTTTTTCTGCTTTAGGGGAATATCTAGATATTCTTGCTGTATCTTGTGATAGCTTCAATGAAGAAGTCAATGTTTTAATTGGCCGTGGGCAAGGGAAGAAAAATCATGTTGAAAATCTTGAAAAACTGAAGATGTGGTGCCAGAAATATAGTGTTGCTTTCAAAATAAACTCTGTGATCAATCGTTTCAATGTGGAAGAAGACATGAATGAGAAGATTAAAGCTCTAAATCCTGTCCGCTGGAAGGTAAGAGCAGAGAACTGACAGCATAACTTTCAGTATTGTAAAGTGGAAAATATTACCTGAAATTGGAGTAACCCCTAAACTAGTTTTAAAAATAAAGAAGACAACTCCCTCTTATTTTAGAAGAAACCATCCACGTGTGTGGTGTGGATCTGGTTCATTTTGTGTCATTACCCTGTCATTATATTCCCTGACCTCTTGGAAAAGTTAACTTAGGAAGTGCCCTCAGGAGTAGCATCCCCCCAGAGATCAATCTGGCTCCCACCCTGAAGCTGTTCCCCAAGTCTGAAAAACTCTGCTCTTGGGTTTGGGGTTAGGGTGGCTGTGGAGATTCTGTTTGTTTTCTTTTGATGTGCTGGGTTGTCGGTTGTAGATGTACAGTATGTCTTTTTTTCTTTAATGTTATTGTTTTTTACTGCTGAGATGTAGGTCACACAGGGTCTCTGGGACTCCGGCAGCCTCTAAGCCCAATAGAATAAAATAAAATAAAGTCTGTCTTGATTAGAGTCATAAAACTCATATGACTGTGTAAAAATAGCAGCTGTTTAGTTTGCTTTACTTCAGGACTATTGTTTTTACCTAGAAATAATAATAATAATACATCCTGTGATGAAACCTTTAATATTATTAAATAACAACATCTGCCTATCCCACGTCCTTGGGAAGGACTCAATAGGTGGACAAAAATCCCAAATCCAGTCTAAACATCTGGCTGACTATGTGACCAGCAATAGTAATGATAATAATACAGTACATGTATATGCTACCTGATGCCCAGCAACTCCGGGTAGTTTACAGATTTAAAAACTTTTATTAGATTTCATTAAGTAACAAATGACTAATCAAGAAGGACAATGATCCATTA